GTGAAAATGTAAATAAAAAAGTACCAAAAAACAATATTAATAAGTTGTACTTTTTATATTTTAATTTAAAATATTTATAAATATCCACAATTAAATAGAGAAAAATTAGAGTAAAAAGATATAATAATAGTTACATATGCAAATAATAACTAAAATAAAATAACATAGTTAACTTTTTATATAAAGTTAGCACACCATTGCAAAGGATTTTGGATCAAATTAAACGGAATAGAAATAGGAGCAAGAGCAGAACATTAGGTTTTTACAGGCCCGGACATGGGTTACGATTTAAGGCCTACATGCAATAGAGTTAAGTTTAACAATGTCAATTACCATGTTCCTTTTTTGTGGGCCAAAAGGATACATCCTTTCTTTACTAATTTCTTTCTGAGGCCCAGATTAGGGCCTGTGCCCAACCCTGGGCCTTCTTTCGTCCGCCCCTCGGAGACGGTAATGGTGGGAACAGCGGAAATATTCCCTTTAACACCTAAAAAGTTTCATCATCAACAATTTTTTAATATTCAGAGTCTCCGATACAGTCTTTGTTTTATACAGTCCGCCATTTTATTTTTTTTTTGAACTGAAGCTAAAAGTCCGCCATTTTATTTGATAAAAGTTTAGTTGAATTGTTTAATTTAAAAATTTTTATTTAAGATAAAAGTTAAAAATTAAAAATTTTGTGTTGTTCAATAATTATATAAAAAAAAATAATACGTAATTTTTAAATTTCACACACAGTTGTCACCTTTGGATTCTTCTGTTTGTTTATGGTATGGAAAAGTGTGTTGCTTTTTTTATCCAACCACCTACTGCATCAATAATTCTACATTAACTCGCCAACACAAAGGTCTTCCTCACTTTATTAAAACGCACCAAAGGTCTATAATTACGACCACTGTTACTACTGTTTGCATGCTTTTTTGGGGTGGTGTTATTGCCACAGCCACTAATGTTAATGCCACAGCTTTTTTTAGTTATTTGACCATTAACCCACGCGGAGAAGGTGGTGACTGCTGCAAGTTGGATTCAAATGAGGGGTATAATAGTCAAATAACTAAAAAAAGCTGTGGCATTAACATTAGTGGCTGTGGCAATAACACCACCCGCTTTTTTGCTTTATGCCTATCAACTTTACATTCCATTCCACCTACTTTTTCTTTTTCTTTTTCTTTTTCTTTTTCTTTTTTAACTTGTCCTGCTTTTCTTGGCAACTGTGCGTCAACAATTCTACATTGACTATTTGACTTCCCTGCTGGAAAATATAGGTCTTCCTTTTCTATACTCAATAAGCTTTACACTTCTCAGTTTTTCTTTGCTTACTCTCTTTGCAGCTTCCTCAGCCTAGCCTAGCTACAGGCTATAGGTATGCTATCTACTGATCATGTTTATATTTTTTGTATGTTGTTGTTAATGAAATGAAATTGTAGCTGATCGACCTTTGTTAATTATTTTCTAATCTGTTATGGTTATTATCATGTGTTTGTTCAGATTGGCTACCAATATTGTGCTTCCTTGCTCTGCCTTTAAACTTCTCACCCCGTTCTTCGCTTATTCTCAGCTTCCTTAGTTTACGGTATGTCATCTACCGTTAAGTTATAACTAATCATATACCTTTACTATTTTCTAATCTCTATCTGTTATGGTTATTTGTTATGTGTTTGTTCAGATCTTTGGCCTGCACCATTCTTGTACTTCTTTGCTCTGCCTCCAGCTCCGCATATTTTAACATCCTTACCTCATTTCGCCACCTGATCTCTAGGTATATACTACTTTTTATACTCCTGTTATCTGTTTTTCTCTCTTGGATGTATAGAAAGGTTTAATTTCTAGTTGAGTCTCTACTAAACATATGCATACTTGATTTGTCTTTCACCATGACAAAAGTGTTTTTTCGTTACATAATATGACAAATATGTATTAGTTTCGTATGTTAAACAATTCAATTTTAACTAAGTAATTTACCATGGATTCACTTGTGTATGATGGACAATCCTTGACACATGCAGAATCAATGTAATACATACAAAAAGAGCATAAGATAATCAAATAAGTTGGTTTAGATAACCCAATATAAGGCGACGAATCCACCAAATCGGTAAATATGTGTCGGAAGGAGGACTAAAGATTGTTTACTTATTTATGTTTTTTTCTTTATTTGAAGCAAACAAAAAACTTAAGTACCTCAACTGGTGTCACATTTCAGGAATTTTCTTCATGGCGGAAATTGCAACACTAATTCTTGAATTCATAAAGTGTGTGGTGCCTCCAACACAAAGTTGTGTAGATAATCACAGAAACTTCAAAGAAAATGCAAAAGATTTGGAAGACAAATTGAGCACTCTTAATTGCAAAAAAGTAGATGTAGAAACACAACTTCTAAATGAGGTTTGCTCAGAAAAACAAGCCAAAAAAGAAGTGGAGAAATGGGTTCAAGATGTAGAGAAGATCAATGCTGAAATTCAAGATGTTTTGAAAAGGGTGCACAGTGCTTCATACTTCTCACGAGCTCGCCTTGGAAAACTTGCTCGTGAAAAAATTGATGTACTGGATGCAATTCTTCAACGAGGCAATTTTCCTGAAGGACTGGTACTTAATAAGCCTGCAATTAGTTTGCCTATACCAGTAGAGGATCTAGAAGGCGAGGATACCGTGAAGGAAGAAATATTGGGATACTTGAAAGGCAATGAGGTCCCAATGATTGGAGTTTGTGGAATCGGGGGTGTTGGGAAGACCACCATTATGAAACATATTCATAATGAATTGCTATTGATGGAGTCTAGATTTGATAATGTGATCTGGGTCACCGTCTCATATCCACTCAATGTTGTTAGATTACAACATGAAATTGCTGAGAGAATGAATGAAAGCTTCCTAGAGAATGAGGATGAGCAAAGCCTGGCTTCAAGATTGATGCAGATAATGGGAAAAGTGAAATATGTGTTGATATTAGATGATGTGTGGCAGAGGTTTACTCTCAAAGATGTTGGAATCCCGAGTCCCACAAAGGAAAACGGTTGCAAAATAGTTATTACTAGTAGAAAGGTGGATGTATGCCAGTTCCTTGGTTGTGAAATAGTTAAAGTGTCTCCTCTTTCAGAGGAAGAGTCTTTGAATTTGTTCTTAGATAAGGTGGGAAGGGACATTCTACAAAATCAAGAATTGGGAGAAATTTTGAAGCTTATGGTGAAGGAGTGTGCTGGACTACCATTGGCCGTTGTTGTAATAGCTGGAAGCATGATAGGAGTAACTGATGTTCACCAGTGGAGGCATGCTTTAAATGAATTACGTGAACGCCTAAGAGCTATAGTCGAAGGTTCAGAAGACCAGATATTTGAGCGGTTGAAGTTCAGCTATGATCGTTTGCAAGATTCAAAAACCCAAAATTGTTTCTTATCTTGCTCATTATATGCTGAAGACTATCAAATTAGAAAAGAGAATCTAGTCAAACAATGGATTGATGAGGGACTTGTTGAAGAATTAGGCAGTAGACGAGCGATGCTTGATAAAGGATGGACCATATTAAACAAACTTGAGAACAGTTGTCTGTTAGAGAAAGGTCATTCTGAGGCCTTTATTAAATTGCATGATGTTGTGAGAGATATGGCATTGCGCATCAGTCCTCAATTTATGGTGAAAGCTCGTATGAGACTAACAGAGATACCAGATAAGCATGAATGGGCTGAAAATCTTGAAAAGGTTTCCTTGATGCAGAATGAAATTTCAGATATTCCTCTAAACATGTGCCCAAATTGTCCCATTCTCACAACCTTGATGTTGCAAGGGAATAGGGCATTGAGCCAAATTCCAGATTGCTTTTTTGCAAACATGCAAGGGCTCAAGTGTTTAAATCTTTCTGAAACTAGCATTGAAAGTCTACCTCATTCCATCTGCAATTTGGAGAATCTTACTACATTGCTCTTGCAAAATTGTAGGCAATTAAAACATGTGCCTTTCTTAGCAAAGCTTAAGGCATTGAAGAAGTTGGATCTGTGTGAGGCAAGAATTGAGGTGGCCCCTGAAGGCATTGATATGCTTGTAAATCTCCAATATCTTGATTTATGGTGTCCAAAATTGGTGGAGCTATCGACACAACTACTCAGTAACCTTTCTTACCTCCAACACTTGATAGTATATTACAAATCAACTACTTTAAAGATAAAAGGAGAAGAAGTAAGAGGATTGAAGAAGTTGGAGACTTTTCAAGCTCAATTGTATGACTTGCAAGACTTTAACAATTATGTCAAGTCTAACCATTTTAAAAGATTGAGTAATTACCAGCTTGTGGTTGGACAAGTGGAGGAAGACTTTGATCCTTCTATTAATTTGTCTAAAGTAATAAGTTTAGGAGAATGTGAGATAGGTGGAGAAGATAGTGTGGTGCTTCCAGATGACGTGGAGGAACTATGGATTTATCGGTTTAGAAATTTTAAAAGCTTAAGTGATATTTATTCTCTCCAAAAAACAGCTGAGTTGAGAAGGTGTTTTGTTACCGAGTGTGAAGAGATAGGGTGTGTGGTTGACATGGTTACATCATCATCATCTTTCATTAATAACCTTGAACGGCTATGCCTTGATAAGTTGCCCAACTTGAGTGTTGTTGCGAATGTGGAAGGAGTAGAAGCAACATCGCCTTACATCTTTTCCAATCTTAAATCCTTTGGGATGTGGGAATGTTCTACAATGAAGAGGTTGTTTTCATTTGAGCTGTTGCAAGGCCTCCAAAACTTGGAGGAGATTACAGTTCAGAATTGTCAACAAATGGAGGAAATAATAGGGTGGGAAGGAGAAGAGGAAAATCACACAGCTGATGCAACTACTACTACTACTACATTCACTCTTCCAAAATTAAGAGAGTTGAATTTGCAGAATTTACCAGAATTGAAGAGAATCTGCCCCACAAGAGGAGTTATGGTTTGTGATTCTCTCCAACTGTTACAAATAGTTGAATGTCCAAAGTTAAGGAGGATTCCCCTGGTAGGGAATGTACGGCCATCTCCTCATGCTGCTCTAAAAAAAATCTATATAAAGCCAAAAGAATTATGGGAATCACTGGAGTGGGACGATCCCAGTGCCAAAAATGTCCTTCAACCCTCCGTGTATTTCCTTTGAGGACTACAAATGGAAAGTTTTACATCAAATCAAATGGATGAGATCCAATACCACAGTTAAGCCTTTTTTTCTTTTCTTATTAATGTTCAAACTGCAATATTTTACTCTCGTTTCTTTTTTCGCCCTTATTTTTCTGCAAAATATCCTTTATTTTTCTTAATCATATATTTACTGTCTAACTATTGGAAACCAAATATTTTTGTGGTTCATAAATATAGATCGATCTTGTGGTTGATATTCTTAGCTATCATTTGATTCAATTCACTCATAATCACTGATGTTTAATTAATTTGTCTTTCATCTAGTGTGCAATGTATAAATAACAAACTGATCTTGTGTTAATTGATTTTGATTAAACTAGTTGTTGTTGTCATTTAATTGATTTATTGTGATTCGTGGGAAAAACTGTCAAAGTTTATATGATTTTTGGATTTAAAGGCAAGAAGTCCAGGAAGATTTGAGCTCATTTTTTGTTATGCACATTAAGTGTTTGATGAAATGCTTGTGTGAGGATACGGGTTTGTTTTTCTGAAATGTGTTTGCTAGGATAGGCTACACTAGGTATAGGGGTTTAGAAAGATGGCGTAGGGTATTTTAGAGTGATATGCTATATATGTTTTCAAGTTAAGAATCTTTGTAATGTGGATTAGATTACTCCTTAAACCTTACACTCCTCTTTTATTGATGATGAATGGCTTTGTGTTAACATGTTATGTCGGTTGGGTTTGCATCTTTGTTCACCTTGTCAAAAGGATCTCATCTTGGAATGGACAGGAAATTAAACCAAAATGAATGGGTGGATTCCACACATCTGCTTGATCTGATTGTTGTTTCATAATCTTTGAAATCTCCGTTTGTTTTTAGAATGCTAGTATTATGTATAACTCAATTCAATCCTTCTTGTCTTTGGTAATTTGTATTATGTTGTATAAATTACATCAAATAATCGTGCGATTTTTCTTTAGATATTAACCTCAAAATCTTAAATTATTGTTGCAATTAACTTAATTTTCTCAGCTGTGAGCAAAAACGAATCGTACATTTATTACTGAAAAACTATGTATTTCTTTACCGATAACAGACGGGAGTTTAAAGATTCAATTACTAGAACACTTATAATATGACACATCTTTCTCCCTCCTTGAGCAAAAGAGATGGAGATTACATTTGGAGACATCAGAATACAAAATTGAGAACGGCAGGGATCCTTGGAGTCATGCACAGACTCGGGAACATTTTTAAGCTATTCTCTATGCTCATATCGGCCATTCATACAAAATTTTCATAGAAATAGATGAAATGGCCAAGAAACTATAGTTCCAAAATGCATTTGGGTTATCAAAACTGCCACTCCAGAGTTAGTGCTTGGTAAAGCAGACAGCTCAGTCATAATACTTGGGATAACCTGACGAAGGGTCTACCCCATTGGGATAGCTGAAGTCGAAGAGCTACCTTGGTGATTGTTCTCAGGGCTAGTTGTTTGAGGCTTTCCGGGTTTTGATCCAATGTTAATACCCATGGGAAAGGACTCCTGCATCAACAAGAAAACAAGTCACACTGATTCAAAGTAACAAAGTGCTTGATGAGTTAATGCAATAACTCATGCTCTGTAGCACAAGTTATTAAACTTTAAACCCCCTGTTTGGTTTGAGGGAAAAGGAAACAGAGTCCATTTCCCTCCCCTCCCCTGCATTTCCTTCAAATTCCCCACTTTTAATTTTTTTGTTACCCAAGTGGGGAAATTTCAACCCCTCCCCTCGAACCAAACAAGTGATAAGACTTTCTTTATAAGCTAGTTCACTAGTTTGACATGATAACCTACCGGATCGCCAGCATTCAGGCCATCAGTATGACAAAGAATAGGATAGCATCTCTTATCTTCATTTATCAAGCTTGAGTTCTGGAAATGGGCAATAAGAACAGCTTTTCCTTGAATACTAGCATATGCAAGTGATGCCACTTTTTCATTGCTGAACTTTTCCCCTTTTTTGCCATTGAATGCCTGCAAATTGGTTTAATAACACATTAACATGACAAAAAAAATCTTTGTAAAAGTGGAAAAGCACTACAACATCTAATCCCCACATCAAACCTTATTGAATGGAGTAATCTGTTGTGGATCAATCATGTTGATGAATGCATAACACACATTGCATTTATTTTGTTGACAATATTCACAAGTTTCAAGTTAGAGAAAGATATATATCCCCTTTCATAATAAGCGTTAGAAATGAGGATTTCTTCCCCCTCCAATCACCCCAGCCTAAGGCACTTCAAGGGGGAGATGAGTTCATCAAAAAATTAATTTACTTGCCTTGAAGTCAATTGAAAAATAAATGAAATCATAGGTTCCTTGACAGTGATCATCTATTGCAGCCAGAAGCACCTTTGAGGTATACCTGCATAAAAAAGACTATCAGGTTGATAAAGAAATAGATAAGGAAAAACGGGAAACCAGAAGCAAAAGTATCCATAACAGAATTGTTTACTCTTTTTTTTTTTTTTTTCTTTGGCCTCAAACAACAGGAATAGTATCACATATGATGTAATTATCAATCATTCACCACCAACACCGGATTTACTTTAACAACATTACAGACTATGGTCATTAAAATGATTCACACGATGCTGTCAAAATTATAAACAAAACTAAGGGAATATCAATTGTGATTTCAAAGTCAACTGCTATTAGTCCTAGTCAAAACATCTACAAGTTCTGATTCTTTGAGGCTTCTTTGGTTAGTGGGACTGCTATTCCTAGGTGAAACTATGAAAACAAGCTAAAAATTGAGAAATTTCCATAGGAAGTTAGGAATGTAAAACTAGATATGACCTTAGGGAAGGAAAAAAATGTTCCATCATATGACGGTTTCAACATAGAGAAAAATATTGAAGTCAAATGACAAACGTATAACTAGAAAGATGGAAGATGAAGTAAATAAAGAATAAAATACTAGTGTAACAGGAAAATCATTCACCTACTTGTTCCAAATGTTCTTTATCATCAGCGTTGTTCTGCTGTCTTCCCCGTGTATGATGCGGTCAATGTCAAGTTCATATTGTTTCTTATCAGCATTATTAGAATTTGATTCATTTCTACTGTGTGAGAAATTTCTCACACATTCATTGGGAGACTCAAAAGAACCTGGCATGGATATGATAGTGTTTCTTCCATGGAAAAGGTGACACATTTGCTGAGGAGAGTGTACCACACCATTGTTTCCACCAGCATGTGAGAAAATGTTGTGAGAAGCAATTTCAACATATGGCTGCTGCATAATTAGAGTGATCACTCGGTTGGAAGAGGGTGTGGCATGGCGTCACTGGGGTTTCATGTGTACTGCTACAGATGTTCTGAAAGATAATATTAATTGGTTGTTGTTGGCAGAGCCTGTGGCTCAATAGCTGAAGGATAATATTGATTAGTTGTTGACAGAGCTTGTGGCTTCATAGCTGGGCAAGCATGGCTCATATTTGTAGTGGCTCCATAATACACATGCCATGAAGGTAGGACCCCATGTGGGATACTTGGAGGCTCTAAAGTTGGTTGAATATGACTTGGGGGCATGCTAGTCCCATTTGTATCCATTTGGAGGCAGCTTTAGAGATGGCACAGTTTGAGGTTGCACTGACAGAGGCCATGGCCTGTGTTCAATAGGGGTCCGTAATAATCATGCTCCTGCAGGCCGTTCTGCCTAACATGTTGAAGATTTAAGACTGTTTCAGACTGACTAAGATTCAACCCAACTCCAAATGGATCCCTTGGAAAGGGCAGCCTCCAGTGATTCTCCATAACTGGAAGGTGCAAGGGCTGCAAAGAATTTGGTGTTGACACCACTAATGGACAAAACAATGAGAGTAGACTGCTTAATGCCCCATAATAACATATGCTACTCAATAAAAAAGAAGTATGAACAAATCAATTAATGGAAAAGATTAAATTCCACAAATTCTTCTCACTTGCTTCTTGTTGAGTTCTTGACTGAACTTGGTACCCTTTTGATAATCATACTCAATGGCCTGTCTAAAAGAACTCTCCAGAAGAGGTAAAGAATCCTTGTAAATCTTGAACCTCACCTGAAAAAATAACTTGACAAACAGAATATGAGAAATAGCTTGAATCCATTTAACTATGATAAACCATGTGCATGTGCTCCCAGTAGATTATGTTGGATGCTGTCAAACTAAGGTGTGAAAGTGCCCTAGTTAGATGGACTCCGAAAGTAAATGTCTCATTTTGGCAGATTGAAGTAACCACTAAAAATCATGGAGGGAAGGAAAGCAACTTAATATCTTGTTGATTCATTCAATTTGACAATTTTACATGCCGAACAGAAGCAAGAAAGACAAACTAAGGTTTCTAAGAATGGTGTTGAAATGGCATGCAGCATACCCACCAATTCTTTCCTGAAAGGTAATTATTAATCATGTCTTTCTTGGTATTAAAAAAAAAAAAAAAAAAACCCAAGGAGAACTGCTCAATGCACCCGAATACCTTCTACGTCTGTATCTAAGCATGGATCTTCAATATCAACAATATAGTGGTGTGGCATATCGCATATGCTTGTTTCTTCTTATGCTTGATCTTCACCCTGCATGTAATAAATTTAAACTAATAGCATTAGAGCACTTCCATGAGTGGGAAACCTCCCACCAAAAGCAGCTTCTTCCAAATTCAACAGTCTACAAGAGATTACCTCATAAAATCCATAGAGAAGCTTCATTCCAAAATCAAATAAGAATCTTCATGCCAGGCTGATTTTTGCAAGAACATCCATTCTTCAAGCGGGAAGCCTGAAAACACAGTATTGATAACATTGTGGTTTTGTTCTTCCATTACCCATAAAAATAAAAACGGAACGTTCTTCCTGGTTCTGCCCATCCATTTCCTTTTCCTGCATGACAGTATTACCGCAATAAGAAGCAGTAGTTTGATCAAGATCAGAAAAATAGGAAAGAGCAGGGAGACTAGCAAGTGATGCTTGGCTATTTAAGTCCATATTAAGCAATTCTATTCTACAATTTTCAACTCCTCTTCATGGACAGCACTGTCAGAATTGAATAAACCAATGAAACACTTTTGACATTTCAATCATAATAGGAACAAGGAGAAAATTGTGAAATTTAAAAACATGAAAGGACTACGGTGATGAAGCACAGTAACCTCATACATTTCAAAAGCCATTTATGCATTGTGCATCTACGTTTCCAATCTTCCATGAAAAACTTTCTCCCCTTCTTTTTTTACTGAACTTATCCAAAGACCACACCCAACTGAATATTTAATATTGCACTTTCCATCACTCACAAGTCACACCAAAGCATTGTTCCAGGTATAACTTTTAAAGACTTTCACCATTTTAACACCAATTCCAGTGCATGCGTAAAATGAACAATCAACCCTACTAGTTTAAATCGCAGAGAAAAATTTCAACATTTTAACACCCAATTTCAGAACATACATAAAATGAACAATCAATTCTAGCATTTTAACACCCAATTTCAGTACATGCATGAACAATCAAACCTAAACTCAGTGAATTACTTTAAACATTCTATCAAGAAAGGGGCTGAAAAATTCATGCGAAACCAAACAACCAAGTAGGAAAGGATAAAGACAAACAAGTTACTGAGAATACAAAATCATAAAAAAATATATATATATTACAGAAAATTAGGATTGTCCCGGTCCCTTACGGGGCAAAGACGGCGCCTGGGCGGAGGACAGGGAAGCAGATAAGCACAGAAAGGCGCTTTACGCCCGCAACTGCAGCAGATTATTTTCTTCGCGCGACGGGTAGATGTGGGATCTAATGGCGAACCCCGAAAAACCCGACTGTTCGAATCGAGATTCAACGGTAACCGAACGGATC